ATATGCGTGCATAATCGTGGTAACATAATGGCGGGCATAGCGCTAGGTTTCATTACCCCTGATTATTCGCGCACCGCATTATGCTGTAGGTGGTTCCTCAGTTTAAAGGGACTCTTCTGAACCCACCGGGCGTGCCTAACGCATGTTGAGTCGGGCAGCCTGGAGGTTCCTCATGCCTTGAATTCAGGAGGGCCATAAACATGCGTACACTGCCATCGCTAGTTATGCACGTTTGTCTGGCCAGATTAAACTGCGACCGCTGTCTATATTGATGCCGACTAACATCACCGCCCCCGGCGTGCTTTCATGGCGCTCGTGACAGCCATTGCGTACAAAGTAAAAGATTTAAAGACAACGGTGTATTTAACACGGTGCACTGCGCTTAATGCTGCCTCAGCGCCAGCTGCTCAATATGCAACGAAAACGCCGATGGATAGTATCAGCAGTGATGCATTCCTGTTGTTTCTCTGCGGCCGGCGTGATACATTACGCTGTCGAGTCGCTGCTCGCTAGAATTACTCTCGAATACACACGAGTCGATTTGTGTTCCACAGTGTTAGACCATGTTGAATTACATGCAGTTGACTTCTAACGAATCATCATTAGTTTCTCAGAAATTAGCCCAACATTGAAAATTTCAACTTCAAAAACTTGATGTCAAAGGAATACGGTTTAAATACGGTGCAGCCATTGAGAACTGATGGTCTATGGTTAGCATAATAAGGCAATAAATGCCTTTCCCCGCACTTCTTATTGAGCAATCATGAATCTCTTGGCCTTTGAACAAAGTGTCGTCCAGTAACCCAAACCAACTTTAGCCTACACAACTTTAAGCACGCTCACGCGTAAGTCTTAAAGTTCTCGCTTTCATTAACGAGCTGTATTTGAATTAATACTAATCACGTAAACAATTCACCCGGCCAAAATACACGGCAAAATTACGATTATTTATATATTGACAGCGTGGCGTTTACCCGTACCATATCAAACAAAAATGTGCACAGCGCAGGAAATAGAGCGATGACGTCAGCTCTAAACTTAGATGTTAATCGAGTGTATGGCGCGCCGTAGAACTAAAACAATTATAGTTGAAGAAAAATTAGGCGCTGTCGTTCATCTCCATTATTTCGATCGGACTTTGGTATTAGTGTTATGTCTGTCACGGACGCACTCCAACGCCACAGTTTGCCTAGAAATTAAGCTCGCGGGAGACGCAGATTCACCGGCATGCCATATTATAGATTCAAAATAAAAAGTGAATCTGGTTGTCAGCGAGTAAAAAAAACCCAAACATCATAACGTCGTACGCTTCGTCACGGCGCATGCCATTTCGCATCGCTGATCATTTTACACTAGGCGATCAAAACCCGCACTATATGGAGGTGTTTACTAGCACCGTCGCTCCATCTCATGACCACTACTACTACTTTCCGGACGCAGTGGCAATCTTCAACAGTTCTACTTCGCGTCGACAGCCCTATACTGGACGTCAAAGCGCTTAATTCGGTCAACGAAGATCATCGAGGCCAATCAATATATGTTGTCGTCGCAACTCAATCTGGACGCTCTACGCTCTCGCAAGCGCCGACAGCATTCGACCGCTACAGAACAAATCGCGCCAGCAAAATTAACGGCGTCTATCACGACAGTAGGCGACAGGAGACGCAACTGGTGCCAGCCAAGACGAGACTGTGTGCGCTCTTGTCTCTTATTTCATCTGACGGAAATAAGACCAGCGGCCATATAAAAGCGTACACGCGGTCAACCCGAGCAAAACACACACACCGGCCACTAAATGACAGCGAATCGAATGAGACACAGACAGACGAGACGAGAGAGAGAGAGAGAGCGAGAGAGAGAGAGAGAGAGAGAGGAGAGAGAGAGGAGAGAGAGAGAGAGAGAGAGAGAGAGAGAGAGAGCTGGACTGTATGTGTGTGTACTCGGAGCGTTATTCGGGCTCTTCAATGAGTATTATATACGCGCGTGCGGAGCTTAACAGAGAGTTTGCCCAGCGGACCCCGTGTACGCGTGTCATTCGGACATGCAGCCACGTATGTTCAAACTTCGGCATGTCTGGCGGTCCGATTGAGCTGCCGTGCCAAAGAATGCGCGCGAATGAGTGACTACTGACCGACGAGTCGTCGAACAGACTTGCGGAGGTTTCCCATTGACGTCACGTCTTGATGCCACCCGAGGCATGCGGTTACACACACACAGATCCCCGATCAGAATTCACCAAACGCCACACTATATATGTCGGGATAAGTAATTCTACAGCGGACTCAATGTGGCGTCGAATCTATCTATTCATAGTCGTCATCAATTTCGAAATGAGGGGTACAAAAAACGAATCGATCATTCAAATGCATAATGATTTGACGCTGACAAATTAGTCGATGCATTCAAATGTTAGAATGATGACTCTGACAAATTAGTTATAATATTAGCAGCAAGGAAAACCTTTACTCAGCGCAGTTGGACGACCACGGCTACTAGCTGTATTAAATACTGCGCATTTATATTAGCAAGCATGACATAATTTCGACTTGTTATACTAATTGCAGGTTATACGCGCATGCTGCTCCCTGGAAGGATTCTGCTGCGAATCGATAGATAATGAGAACCGTGCTTATTTTACCGACGACTACATACTGCGACTATAATTGCAGTGAGCCTCAGGCGTAGCAAGCTTTCACAGTATGATGCAATACACGTACTCGTGAAAAATCCGAGTCTGCACTTCTAATGGCCGTCAATTTAGCCTACAAAATGGCGAATAAACAAAAGGCCGCAAACCTGCGACCGATGTCAAACGCAGAAAGCACACGAGGCATCCTCGATCCGCCACGCAATTAAGATGCGGCGAGGCGCGCGCGCGCGCAGCGCGCGCTGCAGTGGTGTGTGTGTGTGTGTGTGTGTGTGGTGTGTGTGTGTGTGTTGTGTGTGTGTGTGGTTGTGTGTGGTGTGTGTGTGTTGTG